CTTGATCACTGCCTCCTGTACAATGTCATGAACCTCCATCCATAGTTTTTCAGGCACTCTGTCTACCAGATCTAATCTCTTGAATCTATTTGTCACCTCCACTGTATAATCATGAGGGATTTGATTTAGATCATACCTGAATGGCCTAGAGGTTTTCCCTATTTTTTTCAAGTTGAACCTGAATTTTGCAATAGGGAGCTGATGATCTGAGCCACAGTCAGCTCCAGGTCTTTTTTTGCTGACTGTATAGAGCTTCTCCATCTTCGGCTGCAAAGAATAAAATCACTCTGATTTCGGTGTTGGCCACCTGGTGACGTCCATGTGTAGAGTCGTCTCTTGTGTTGTTGGGAGAGGGTGTTTGCTGTGACCGGTGCGTTCTCTTGGCAGAACTCTGTTAACCTTTGCCCTGCTTGATTTTGTACTGTAAGGCCAAACTTGCCTGTTACTCCAGGTATGTCTTGATTTCCTCCTTTTGCATTCCAGTCCCCTATGATGAAAAGGACATCTTTTTTTGGTGTTAGTTCTAGAAGGCCTTGTAGGTCTTCACAGAAGAGTTCAACTTCAGCTTCTTTGGTGTTAGTGCTTAGGGCATAGACTTGGATTACTGTGATACTGAATGGTTTGCCTTGGAAACAAACGGAGATCATTCTATTGTTTTTGAGATTGCATACAAGTACTGAATTTCAGACTCTTGATGACTTTGAGGGCTGCTCCATTTCTTCTAAAGGATTCTTGCCCACAGTAGCAGATATAATGTCAGATAGGGCTTGGGTATACAAACCAGGAGTTCAGGAGAGAAGTCTGCTGTCAAGAGAGGTATTTGGGAGTAGTCACCCCAGAGATATATGAAGGCATGAGATGAGAGGAGTGCATTGAGACAGCTGACAGAGGAGAATAGAACCTGGGGTGAATTTTCAATTAAGAAACTATAAAAGCAAATCCACTTCTGTAGGGCCAGACTTGGAGCCCCTGCTGTCCAGAGCTTGTGATGGGTCACTCTGTTCTGATATGTCACTCTGTCATGTCCCAAAAAGTCCTTTCTCTGGCCAAGCACTGTACCTTCCTGCTTTGCAACCAGCAGAGCCTGGGCCTTTCTCTGCTCTTGTCATACACAGAGGTGGTGTCACTTAACAGGAGTCCTGCTCTTGTTCAGGAGGCTGCCAGAACCTGCTTGACAGGTGGGTGTTGGATGGGCAGCTGCACCCTTTCCCAGGCAGAGGCCATCTCTGGACCTGCCTCTAGGGTTCAGGGCTCACACACATGTCCAGCAAACTGTTCCCTGGCACCGGACTTTGCAGTCCTGTGGAGAACCTGCTGGGTTAAATGTACACGTGATCGGGACCAGCCCAGGAACTTGGGGCCCCATGGAGGCAGGCCAAGAGTAGACATTCAGTGCCCAAAGATAACTTGGGTGGAGGGGGTCACTGAACACAGCCCCCAGTCCAGAGGAGATGAGCAGAGGCTGGGTGGGGTGGGGAGGCTGACAGTGCCCTGCTGGAGCAGCTGGCACAAGTCACGACATCCCCTCCCCATCTCTCTCCTCACCTTTGGGTTCACTGACACCATGTTGGTAAATCGGGGGGTGGGGTGCTATTTTCCGCAGAGAGCTGGTTTAGCGACACTGCGGGTGAAGGGATGTTCTCCAGGCCACCCAGCTTCAAGGTCACCTTCCCACCACCACAATCTGAGTGTGGAGGGGGCTCCTGCTGGGGGGAGACTGGAGGCTGCCTGAGCTCTTCGAGCCCCACTAAGTTGCAAGGAGACACGTGGTCATATCACTTGTGCCTCTCCCACCAGCCCCAGCCTTCTCAGAACCTACATCTACCCCTTGTGGTAGGTCCACTCCTGGGACCCCTTTCGTACATCTTCATCTTCTGTGTAAGCCCCCAGCTTCTTCACAAGGATGCCTAGGCTCCTTTTCAGGGTTCCCCTAATGATATAAAGAGCTACCGTGGGTCCAACACACACAGGGTGAACTGGGCCTTGTCCAGCACCAGCACCACCCTGCAATGGCATGTCCTTATTAGCCCACTTTTCAGATGAGACCATGAAGGCGAGATTTAATCGCACGCCCAAGGGCACATAGGAGTGAGTCAGCATGCATACCTGGATATGACTGTTGGAAAGCCTCTGTCTCCAGAAGCAGTGGAGTGGTGGGGAGTTCAGGCCCCAGGGCAAGCTCTGAGGAGGGTAACTTGCCATGTGGGGGAGCCTTTGACCTGCCCACTGCCTCACTGAGCTGACCTCCTGCGGGTCTAGCTTGGGCCCAGCCCCCATCACCTCAATTGATCGGGACCAGCCCAGGAACTTGGGGCCCCATGGAGGCAGGCCAAGAGTAGACATTCAGTGCCCAAAGATAACTTGGGTGGAGGGGGTCACTGAACACAGCCCCCAGTCCAGAGGAGATGAGCAGAGGCTGGGTGGGGTGGGGAGGCTGACAGTGCCCTGCTGGAGCAGCTGGCACAAGTCACGACATCCCCTCCCCATCTCTCTCCTCACCTTTGGGTTCACTGACACCATGTTGGTAAATCGGGGGGTGGGGTGCTATTTTCCGCAGAGAGCTGGTTTAGCGACACTGCAGGTGAAGGGATGTTCTCCAGGCCACCCAGCTTCAAGGTCACCTTCCCACCACCACAATCTGAGTGTGGAGGGGGCTCCTGCTGGGGGGAGACTGGAGGCTGCCTGAGCTCTTCGAGCCCCACTAAGTTGCAAGGAGACACGTGGTCATATCACTTGTGCCTCTCCCACCAGCCCCAGCCTTCTCAGAACCTACATCTACCCCTTGTGGTAGGTCCACTCCTGGGACCCCTTTCGTACATCTTCATCTTCTGTGTAAGCCCCCAGCTTCTTCACAAGGATGCCTAGGCTCCTTTTCAGGGTTCCCCTAATGATATAAAGAGCTACCGTGGGTCCAACACACACAGGATGAACTGGGCCTTGTCCAGCACCAGCACCACCCTGCAATGGCATGTCCTTATTAGCCCATTTTTCAGATGAGAACATGAAGGCGAGATTTAATCGCACACCCAAGGGCACATAGGAGTGAGTCAGCATGCATACCTGGATATGACTGTTGGAAAGCCTCTGTCTCCAGAAGCAGTGGAGTGGTGGGGAGTTCAGGCCCCAGGGCAAGCTCTGAGGAGGGTAACTTGCCATGTGGGGGAGCCTTTGACCTGCCCACTGCCTCACTGAGCTGACCTCCTGCGGGTCTAGCTTGGGCCCAGCCCCCATCACCTCAAGCCTGCTCCCCTGAGCTTCAGAACCTCTTCCCTTTCTTCCAAGGGGTGGCTGTCTTTGGAAAGAAGGCAGCTGGCCATCTGCTTGCACATGGCCAGGGGCTGAGACAGGGCTGGGAAACCCCTACAAAGGGAATCCCCAGTCCTCTGGAGACCTTGGACTATCAGGCTCAGGAAATCCTGCTTCAAGCAGCTTCCGCCCCCTCCTAAGCAGGGTGTAGTCCCCAGGGCCCCCAGGAGCGGAAGGGCTGGTGGGCACTGCCAGCCGCAGGTGGGCCTCGGCCGGGCTGTTTTGGTGAATCAGAGCAGTGGGAGCTGGGGGCAGAGAGTTATGAAATAGGATATGTAGGAGCAGGCAGAGCAAAGTGTTGGGGAGCTTGGGCCTCTGTCCTTACCGCACGCTGAGGCTGTGTGTCTGAGCAAGTCAGCGCCCCACCCTGAGCTTCTGCCCCTAAATGTCGAAAGGGAAAGCGAAGGACATCGCTTTCTCCCTGTCCCCATTTCCTGGGGGAGTGCATAGAGAGTAGCCCCTCTTCCTCGAGGTCTCTGCTGCCCCTCCCTTGTTCATCTTCTCTTACTGTCGGCCCTTGAGCGCTCCCATGCAGCTGGGACCCCACTCACTCCCCTGGCATTCCCCCGACCCTGCACTTCTCCTCCACGCCCTCCCTGATCTTACCCCTCCCACCCTGGCCAGCTCTGGGTGCTCAGTCCCTGTGCAGAGAGCCGAGATGCAGAGCACTGGGTTTGAGTCCAGGTGCTGTTGTTAACTTGCAGTGGGAGAGCTTGAACAGTCATCAGCCTTCTTTCCCATTTCATTTTCCAAAGGACACTGGATGGTGTCCGAGGTCTCTTCCCGTTCAGAGCCTGAGAATCTGAGGTTCTTACGCTAGGCATTCCCAGACACCTGGCCCCTTAACCAGGCCAAGACTGAGGCCACAGGGCCAGCTGAGGGTCCTCAGAAACCTCAAGAAAGGAAGTCAGGGCCAACCAGGGGCTGAGTGGTGGCCACCGGCCCGGGAGAACACTGGCTGCGCTCCACCTGGGTCAGCACCAGGGCTGAATGGAGGCAGCTGGGGCTTCCCTGTCCTCAGTCCCTCCCACTCCATCCTCCCTGGCGCCTCACCACTGGCAGGGTGCTCCTCTGTGGTAAGCTTTGCCCTTCCCCAGTATCCTGTTTTGCAAGATGAGCTATCTGGAAAGAATAGCATATTATCTTCTCCTCCACGCCCTCCCTGATCTTACCCCTCCCACCCTGGCCAGCTCTGGGTGCTCAGTCCCTGTGCAGAGAGCCGAGATGCAGAGCACTGGGTTTGAGTTCGGGTGCTGTTGTTAACTTGCAGTGGGAGAGCTTGAACAGTCATCAGCCTTCTTTCCCATTTCATTTTCCAAAGGACACTGGATGGTGTCCGAGGTCTCTTCCCGTTCAGAGCCTGAGAATCTGAGGTTCTTACGCTAGGCATTCCCAGACACCTGGCCCCTTAACCAGGCCAAGACTGAGGCCACAGGGCCAGCTGAGGGTCCTCAGAAACCTCAAGAAAGGAAGTCAGGGCCAACCAGGGGCTGAGCGGTGGCCACCGGCCCGGGAGAACGCTGGCTGCGCTCCACCTGGGTCAGCACCGGGGCTGAATGGAGGCAGCTGGGGCTTCCCTGTCCTCAGTCCCTCCCACTCCATCCTCCCTGGCGCCTCACCACTGGCAGGGTGCTCCTCTGTGGTAAGCTTTGCCCTTCCCCAGTATCCTGTTTTGCAAGATGAGCTATCTGGAAAGAATAGCATATTATGAAGTTTCCGATACCATCATTCATTGATTTCTGATCAAGGGTGGAGAGAAAGCGGATGCCTGTATAGAAAGGGAGCCCCCACTTTTTCAGCATAATCATCATACCCCAGGTGGTCAGGGCTGTCAGGGCCTGAGTGGCTCCCTGTCTGTGGGACCCCAGCAGTTATCTGTCCCCCTCCTCCTGCTGCATTTCCCAGCCTTTGGCCGGTCCTGAAGCTGGGGGCGCTGGAGGCCCCTCGCCTTGACTGTAAGGCTCACTGGAGGAAGCGGAAAGAGGCCTGGGCTCCCCACCACTCCCGGCCATTCTCTGCTGACTCCAGCCTCTCCTGGGCGACACCCAGGGGAGTTTCTGATCTCTCCCGTGGAGGGGGTGCTGCGGGTCCGGAAGGATGTGGAGCTGGACCGGGAGGCCATTGCTTTCTACAACCTGACCATCTGTGCCCGAGACAGAGGGGTGCCCCCGCTCAGCTCCACGGTGAGTCTGGGGGTCCTGTTCCATGGGCTTCACCTCCCCACCCCCTGAATTCTCCGCAGAGACTCCTCTAAACACTGCCACCCTCAGGCTCAGAGCGGCCTCAGGCTGCTCTAGAGCCAGTCCAGGCCCTCAGGGCCCCTAATAGACCTGCTAGTCCTTGTGGGGCTCACCCGTTGGGGCTGGGACTGGCAGCCACAGCCACTAAGCACTCCCAGGGGAGACTTTCCTGTCAACCAGGCCTCTGCACCTGTCACTCTGCTATTTGCATCCCGCCTCTGCCTCTTTACCTTTTCTGTCTCCCTCTTATCCTCACTTTCATCCTCTTGCCGCCTTTGTTATCATTCTCCTTTCTTCCCCATGACCAGATGCACCGCTCTCTCCTTAGTTACCACCACTTTGCTATCTTGCTCCACCTGCCCCCCGCCTCCACTGTCTCCTTGGTCACCGTGTCCCCCGTCCCTTTCTCTTCCTCCTCTCTCTCCCTCCATCCCCCCCATGCCCCCTTCTCTCCTGGTCCTCCTCCTTCACCTTCTACTCCCCCTTGACCTGCCTCAGATGCTGGTGGGGATCCGGGTGCTGGACATTAACGACAACGACCCTGTGCTGCTCAACCTGCCCATGAACGTCACCATCAGTGAGAACACCCCTGTCTCCAGCTTCGTTGCTCATATCCTGGCCAGCGATGCTGACAGCGGGTGCAACGCCCTCCTCACCTTCAACATCACTGCAGGCAACCGAGAGCGGGCCTTCTCCATCAATGCCACGGTAGGGCCAAGTCTGACCCCAGGGAAGCCCCTGGGATTTTTTCTAAAACAGAGGACCCTGCCCTAGGGGCTTTTCTACTCTACTGTCTGGGTTTCTGCTGGTTCCACTTCCTCCTCAAGTCTCTGCCCTCCACTGGCATTTGGGGGTCTCTGGAAAGCTTGGAATCTTGGATTCCTAAGTGAGCCACTTCTGGGATCCCTGTCACCCCAAGGCTTGTCATGTGCAGGGATGGGACCAGAGCTTTGGTGCCCCTTGGTTTGCATCAAGGTGCACCAAGAAATCCTCACGTGGCCTCTTGGAGTGTTACTAGCTGCTGACCCCATGGAATCCTCAGAAGGACCATCCCTTTCAGGCGGCACAAGCTGGGCGCAGGGGGACCTTGTCCTAGCAGGACCCTGCTAACCCACTGTGGTCCTCCAGACCATATCTTTAGTGATTTAAGGAGGTCATCCACAGTCACTCCTGCAGGCAGAGCAGTTGGGCCTCGGTGAGCCAGAGCCCAAAGTGGGGGACAAGTTACCCCTCAACTCACCAGTCTCTACATCCCAGACAGGGATCATCAGAGTGAACCGGCCCCTGGACCGCGAGCGGATCCCGGAGTACAGGCTGACCATCTCCGTGAAGGACAATCCAGAGAACCCACGCATAGCTAGGAGGGTGAGACTGCAGGGTGTGGGGGTTGGGGAGGGGCACGGCTCTGCTGGATTTATCCAGGTGGCATGGCCTGGGCTTAGATGCACAGGCTTTATGGGAAGCAAGTGCTCAGTTCAAATCCCATTTCTGCCTGTCAGTGGGTGTGTGGCTTTGGCAAGTCAGTGTTCCTTAGCTTCTAACTTTCTCTTCTGCAAAATGGACACACACCTATCCCAAAGTCACGGAGAGGCCTCGAAGGAGCCAATATCTGTAAAGTCCTTGGCACGGTGCCTGGCACATGGCAAACACTCAGTAAACACAAGCTATCATCTTTTCTCCTCAAACCACTGATACTTGGGCACACAGGACTGGGGGCAGGAGGAGGATGCAGGCAGGGCAGGGGAATACATGTACTCTGGGATTCTGAAAAGGGTTACATTTTCCAGGTGGCTTTCCCCTCAAAGGGCTTCACTGGTGGCTCAGCATTGCTCCCGCCTGCAATGTGGGAGACATGGGTTCGATTCCTGAGTTGAAAGACCTGGGTTTGATCCGTGAGCCTGGAGAAGGGAATAGCTGCTACCTACTCCAGTAGTCTGGCCTGGAAAACTCCATGGACAGAGGAGCCTGGCAGGCTACAGTCCATGGGGTCGCAAAGAGTCAGACATGACTAAGTAACTTTCACTTTCCCTCGAAAGCCAAAAAGTTGTCTCTTTTTACTAAGAGGAGATGGGTATTGCAAAGCAAACAGTGCATTCAGTGGTAGGGTCAGTCCTCTTCCCCATCCATGAGGTCTGGGTCCTGGACAGGAATCCTAGGGTCTGGCTCATCTCAGCTCTGCTTTTTACTAGTTGATGGCTCAGCCCTTTCTGGGCCTTGGTTTTCATGTCTGTACCGGCTAAGGAACCTTAAGGCTGGAGGTCCTTACAGACTGCCAGCATTCTCATCCTGTGTGCCTTCCCTTCCTTCCTTCCTTCCTTCTCTCACTCCTACCTTTTCTCTCCTGCTGTCACGCCCTCCCCCTCCCCCACACACACCTGCCCTCTTAGGAGGGCCTGGGGCATCCCGGAAAGGAGCCGTATGGAGTGATGGGAAGGAAGCTTGGAGACTGCTGGGCGCCATTCTGCTGCTAACTTGCCATGCAGCTTTGAGTAGTCACCCCCCTCTCTGGTTCCCCCATGTCTGCAGTGAAGAAGCTTCCAGGGTACTGGGAGGTTCCACGAGATAAGGATTATGCCTGTGGTTTTTGAAAGGTGTGAAGTGCAGTACCAGATGAGAGTTTGGATGAACTCTGACCAGGGCACAAGGCCAGCCAGGAGGATCTAGAAACTAAGGTTCATCTTCCTAGCCGAAGTCCTTCCTGATGAGACGGGACATGACTCAATACCATTTACATCCATTCTCCTGTGAATGTCACAACACCTCTGTGAAAAGGAGTTAAGCTCCCCATTCGTCAGATTGGAAAACTGAGTCCCAGAGAAAGGAAAAGATTTGCCCAAGGCCACCCTGTGAGCTTCTAGCACAGCTGGGGCTTGAACCCAGGTCTCTGGACCCAGGGTGTGGGCTTTTTAATCATCTACCTCTCTTCCTTGACCTTCCTCCCACCCCACTTCCCAGTCTTCCTCCCCTGGGGTGCTTTGCCAGAACCAGGTCATGGCCTACAGCCTGTCCTCCCGTTGTGCCTCCCTCAGGATTTTGACTTGCTGCTTATCTTTCTTGCGGACGAGAATGACAACCACCCCCTCTTTACTGAGAGCACCTACCTGGCGGAGGTGATGGAGAACTCTCCTGCTGGTAGGTGCTGGGCCCACCTGGGAACCCCTGCTGCTACCAGGCACCCCTTGAGCTCGGATGCTGAGGACTTCCTTGTGCCTGCTGGGGGCCCTGCTGAGGCCTGGCTGAACACAGACCTGGCAAGTGCAGAAGGGTGTGGTGGGGAGAAGGGAGTGTAGCTCTGAAGGGCTGGAGGACCAGAGCTGCCAGGCTCCTAGAGGCCACCAAGGAGGCCACAGGTCTGATTGGAGGCAGTCATTGGTCCCCAAGACTGAGAAGAGCCCCACTTCCCCTCCTCAAGGGGCATTTAGCCTTAGGAACTACCCAGGAGGGGAATAAGCCCACTCTTCGTGCTCTCCCGACTCCAGGAGCATGGGGCATCCTGGAGGCTTCTGAAAGCTCAGGGAGCATCTGAAATCAGAAGCGGGGACCAGGCTTCTCACACATCAGTGTGGCCCTTCCCCCACACACGTGCACTGAGTCTCCTCTTCACTGTCTCCCCAAGGACGTCCTCTCACTCCTCCTCCAGCCCCCAAAGCTTGGAGTCTTAAGTTGGGAAGAGATGAGCTGGGATACTCCCTGTCTCTGGCTGGGTGTCTCCCCTGTAGGAATATGAATCTTAAACCTGCCTGTGTATATGCTCACACATGTGCCAGTGCACGTCCATGTGAGGCATAAGTGCAGCTTACCCGTGCACAGAGATACGCATGGGTGCCTGCACGATGCACTCCATGTGCAAATATAACTTCCTGCGGAGGCAGAGTGCACAGCCGGGGGCTTCCCAGGCCTGTGAGCATCATAGAGTGAGTGCTTGTGGCCGTGTAAACGCGGAGTCCTGCACACATATGTGGGACTAGCCTTGAATGGTCAGGCAGCCGTTGGAGCATTGTGTACACACGTGCGTGGGCAGACTGGGCTGGGGGTGCATACCTAGACAGGGCCCCCCACACGGGGAGGGGACGTCAGGGAGCCCCCAGACCCTCCCGCGGTGGCCAGCCTCAAAGGCTGCTGGGAAGGCCGGCGTGCTCCAGGCGGGCCGGAGGGGCTTGCTCACGGCTGTTGTGTTTTCTCCCCAGCAGGGCTTTGAGGCCGCTCCCCAAGCATCTGCGTCAGTCTGCCAAGGCTGCCGCAGCCCGGCCCAGGGCCCCCACCCCGTCCGCCTCACCTCCCCTCCTCTCATCCATTGTCAGCCATGGCTCACGGGGACGGGGCGGGGGAGGGGCGGGCGGGGGGTCAAGTTGGCCCTGCAGTGACCCCTCTCCCCCGGCCCAGGGACCTCCCTGACGGTGCTCAATGGGCCCATCCTGGCCCTGGATGCAGACCTGGATGTCTACGCTGTGGTGACCTACCAGCTGCTGGGCGCCCAGAGCAGGCTCTTTGATATTGACAACAGCACCGGTGAGGCCTCTGCGCACGCCCCCAGCTCTCCCAGCCTAGCTCCAAGTCTTCCTTCTACCGGTCTCCACCACTCGATCTAGGGTCTCCTTCTTCAGTGCTGGGTCCAGGCTCTCCAGAGGGACCCCATTCCTCACAGCCCCCATCTTCTAGCTGGATTAGGCCACCCAGGGGCCAGCAAGGAGGAACCAGGAAGAGGCTTGGGGTCAGCAGAAGTGACTTGCTGACGCATAAACTCTCAGCCTCGGTAGAGAGCCCCCAAAACCCACTCCCTCTTCTCTCCTCCCCCGCCCGGGGGATGAGGACCCTAGTCTTCCAGAAGAAGCAAACCATCTTCAAACCACACTCAAAACTCCTGTGTTGCGTCAGTCTGGGCCTGGCCAGTTTGCTGACAGGAGACCAGGAGGGATGTACTAGCACCTCTCTCAACAGAGCTGCTCAACCCTCCAGCCTGAGGCACTCATCCCAGGCAGAACTCTGGATAATTGCTGGGGACACCTGGGGAGGGGGCCTCCCTAAACATTGGCTGTTGAGCCTTGGAGGAAGAAAGTCGTTGTGTTGCTTTCTCTGCTCCTCTTTTATCTCTGTCCCCATCATGCCTTACCTTTCTCTGTCCCCCCTGGGTTGGCTCTTGCCCGGTTTCCCCACCACATCCCTTCTCCTTTGTATCTCCCTGGCCGGTGGTGCTGGGTACCAGGTGTGGTGACAGTGAGGTCAGGTATCGTCATTGACCGGGAGGCCTTCTCACCCCCGGTCCTGGAGCTGCTGCTGCTGGCTGAGGACATCGGGCTGCTCAACAGCACCGCCGACCTGCTCGTCACCATCCTGGACGACAATGACAACTGGCCCACCTTTAGCCCTGCCGCTGTCACCGTCCACCTGCTGGAGAACTGCCCACCAGGTAGGCAGGGGTCAGCCCCAGCCCCCAGACGGGAGCTGTTCGTGTGTGGGGATTGGAGCCTCACAGTTTGGAGACAGAAATCGCCTGCAGTGGGGAGAAGGATGGGCAGCAGGGTGGGCGGAGAGGGGGTCAGGAGACCCAAGTCCCCCTCCCTTCCCTTCTCAGACCTACAGTGTCTTGTGTACAAAACAAGATTATTAAGATATGTTCCCTCCATGTTCCTGTATGGAAAGACTGATTGTTTCAAAGTCAAAATAGGATTAACATGATTTCCATCAAAATCAAATATGATTTGGGAGATAAGTTTGATTCTAAAGAACATTTTGAAAAATAAGTGTAATAAAGCTCGATTTGTCTTACCAGGTTTTACAACATATTACCAGTATTTAAAACCACATGATAGGAACACAAGACTCTGAGGCAAGGTAGCCCAGCAACAGTGATGGGTAAATTAAGAAATGTAACATTATGTCATAAAGGAAATGATGAAACCAATAGTAAAAACTGTTTAGTGTGCAAAACATTTGTTCATATTTAGTGTAGATTCTCATCCCATATCAGACACCAGAAAGAAACCCAAAGACATCCTAAAGAAAATATAAAAGAGTATAAAACATTAAAAGATAAAAGAAGACACTTCAGGTAAATATTTATCTGCTTTAAAGATAAGATTCTAAGCATTTAAGAAACAGAAGAATATAAAAAGGGGAAAAATATTAAGTTCTGGTACATAATGAAACATTTCAACTTCTTTACATCATATAACCAGTATCAAAAGGTGAACTAAAAACTGAGAAAAAAAGATATTTATCACAAGTTATTATAATTATATAATTTGTATAAATTGACCAAAAATGGGCAAAGGACAAAAACTGACACTTTGCAGAAGAGAAGATACAACTAATCATTGAATTATTAAAAAATTGTTCAGTCTCAAATAATCAAAGAATGCAAAATAAAATAGGACACCATTTTCCTAGAAAATTGCAGATGAAAAAATGCGTAAAAGATGGATGTTTATTTGCAAAATAGAACTAGACTCATGGACTTTGCAAACAAATTTTTGGTTACCAAAAGAAGCTGGGGGTGGAAGGATAAATTAGGAGCTTTGGATTAATAGATACATACTACTATGTATAAAATAGATAAACAACAAGGACCTACTGTATAGCACTGGGAACTATATCTGATATTCCTACAATAACCTATAATATAAAAGAATATATATGATATATATATAACTGAATCACTTTGCTGTACATCTGAAACTAGTACAACATTGTAAATCAACTATACTTCAATTAAAAATAAATTTTAAAATAAATATATAACAAAATACCAAAGATAGGTGCTAGCAAGGCTGTTGTGGGAAGAAGCCCTTGTGACCCCCAAGGAAAGTATCTCAGTGTGATGTTTTTATATAAAAGGTAACTGTTCAGCTGCTTCCCATTCCCACCCCCACAGGATTCTCAGTCCTTCAGATCACAGCCACAGACGAGGACAGTGGCCTCAACGGGGAGCTGATCTACCGAATAGAAGCTGGGGCTCAGGACCGCTTCACCATCCACCCGGTCACCGGCATCGTCCGCGTCGGCAATGCCACCATCGACAGGGAGGAGCAGGAATCATACAGGCTGACAGTAGTGGCCACCGACCGGGGCACCGTCCCTCTCTCGGGCACAGCCATCATCACTATCCTTATCGACGACATCAACGACTCCCGCCCCGAGTTCCTCAACCCCATCCAGACGGTGAGCGTGCTGGAGTCAGCTGAGCCGGGCACTGTCATTGCCAACGTCACCGCCGTTGACCGTGACCTCAATCCTAAGCTGGAGTACCACATCATCGGCATCGTGGCCAAGGACGACACTGACCGCCTGGTGCCTGACCAGGAGGACGCCTTTGCTGTGAATATCAACACAGGTACAAAGGCCTGTTCCCCTCCAGCCCTCCTGCTGACTCCCTGCCCGGTCTCCTGGCTCTCTGCTTTCTCCCTTACCCTCCTCCTTGCGGCTGTCTCTCTGCTCCTCCCTACCCCTCAGCTGCTCCTGCCTTCTCTCTCTCCTCCCTCCTACTGACACCACGTCCTTCCCTCTCCCTGCCATCTCTCCCCTGGCTCTTTCCCTCTCTCCCTTCTCTTCTTCCTTCTCCCTTGACCAGCTTCCTAATTATCTTACTCTACCAGTATTGTATGAGTGTGCCCATCTCACCACACTCGTGACAGCATTAAATATTATAGGAAAATTGCATTTTTTAATATGCATTTCTTTAATAACCGAGTGGCTGAACACTTTCTTCATATGTATCCAGGCCATTTAACTTCTTTCTAAGTTTCTCACACACACACACACACACACACACACACATATAGGTACACACACATATATATTTCTATGTTATATGTGCGTGTATGTACACCCTTAATGATTTTCTTACACTATCACAAAACAAAGGGGAACTGTGGCTTATCTTTCACAATTTATACAGCTTATAAATTTGATTTTAATTTTATTATTTTTCTAAAAGTTCAGCATTTTTGCCTCTGAGCGGAGTTAAGGAGGGGACATGGGACTAACTTACAGGTATACTTCTTGGATGGCCCAGAGAAGTGACAGAAAAACTAACATGGCTATATGACAAAATGCTAAAAGTCATTGCTATTCAGAGAAATGCATAGTAAAAAGCAATGAGATATTGGTTTTCCATATGTGATCAGCAGACATTAGGATGCTGGACAGTATTGAGTATTGGTGACAATGTGGGAACATCATACACTACTGTAGGAATTTTGACTAATTTCATATCTAGACAGCAATCCAGCAATACCCAATGACCCAGCATTTCTGCTCCTAGGAAGCAGAATTGTCCCGAGAGAATAGCAATTCTATCCCGAGGAAGTTCTCAGGCTGATAATGAGACTATTTGAGGATGTTCACTGCAGTGTTATTCGTGACAGAAGCTTGGAGGCAACCAAGGCATCCATCCCTGGGATAGTGGAGAGTAAAATGTGGTGGGTGCACATCCTGGGATACCAGGCAGCTGTTAGAAGCAATAGATTAGGCTCACACAGAGAAACATGAGGTGTTCTCTCTCCTCCCTCCTACTGACACCACGTCCTTCCCTCTCCCTGCCATCTCTCCCCTGGCTCTTTCCCTCTCTCCCTTCTCTTCTTCCTTCTCCCTTGACCAGCTTCCTAATTATCTTACTCTACCAGTATTGTATGAGTGTGCCCATCTCACCACACTCGTGACAGCATTAAATATTATAGGAAAATTGCATTTTTTAATATGCATTTCTTTAATAACCGAGTGGCTGAACACTTTCTTCATATGTATCCAGGCCATTTAACTTCTTTCTAAGTTTCTCACACACACACACACACACACACACACACATATAGGTACACACACATATATATTTCTATGTTATATGTGCGTGTATGTACACCCTTAATGATTTTCTTACACTATCACAAAACAAAGGGGAACTGTGGCTTATCTTTCACAATTTATACAGCTTATAAATTTGATTTTAATTTTATTATTTTTCTAAAAGTTCAGCATTTTTGCCTCTGAGCGGAGTTAAGGAGGGGACATGGGACTAACTTACAGGTATACTTCTTGGATGGCCCAGAGAAGTGACAGAAAAACTAACATGGCTATATGACAAAATGCTAAAAGTCATTGCTATTCAGAGAAATGCATAGTAAAAAGCAATGAGATATTGGTTTTCCATATGTGATCAGCAGACATTAGGATGCTGGACAGTATTGAGTATTGGTGACAATGTGGGAACATCATACACTACTGTAGGAATTTTGACTAATTTCATATCTAGACAGCAATCCAGCAATACCCAATGACCCAGCATTTCTGCTCCTAGGAAGCAGAATTGTCCCGAGAGAATAGCAATTCTATCCCGAGGAAGTTCTCAGGCTGATAATGAGACTATTTGAGGATGTTCACTGCAGTGTTATTCGTGACAGAAGCTTGGAGGCAACCAAGGCATCCATCCCTGGGATAGTGGAGAGTAAAATGTGGTGGGTGCACATCCTGGGATACCAGGCAGCTGTTAGAAGCAATAGATTAGGCTCACACAGAGAAACATGAGGTGAGGGGGGGGGGAACCTTAAAATCAAGTACTTACTGAAAAGGATAAGAAACAGAATTGGTTATATACATATATACACGTGTGTGTGTGTGAATCCCACTGCATAAATATAAAATACATACACAAAAACAATACATGATTTTCAGGAACACTTTCAATAAATGCACTTTAATACATCGCCCAAAGGGAGGAGAGAAGGGGAGACGAATGTGAGAACAGAAGGGAAAAGATACATAAATAAAACAAGAGTGATGCCAGTGACCATCATGTGCAAACAACTAAAGAGTATGATTAACTCAATATGCCTCTGAGGCCCAAAGGGAAAAAGACAGGAAAACCGTGAGCCACTAGGAGGAATTAGATAACTTAGTCCTGAGTCAGGTTAGCAAAATTCCCACTGCAGCGGTTTCTCAGGACCATGGAGAGCTGCCCCATGCCCCTGCCCAACTTTATGCATACTGTTGCCTCTACCATTTTTTTTCCTGTTCTCTCTCCAACTGACTCTCTTCTCTCTGTTTTCCTTTCCAGTGTCTTCTCTGCCCCTCTTTCTCATGCTTTCCCCCTCCCTTGCTCACCTCTCTCCTCCTTGCTAGAGCCTCAGCCTGCTGGGTGCTCCTCTCTTACCAGGCTCCTCCTTGCTCCCCTTGCTTCCTGCCCCTCTGCCTCTTCCCACCCACCCCATCCCTCCCGAATCTCCTGCCCTGGTCAGCTCTGAGCCCTTCTGTCCCCCATGCCCCACTCTGCCCCATCCCCTCTGCACCCTGAACTAACTGATGTTAACCCTCTTCTCTCTTCCTCATGGCTGGCAGGCCCACAGGTTTGAGCTCTGTTTCTCTGTCACTTCCCACCTCATCTCTTCTCTGCTTCACCCCATCGCCTTCCTCCATACCCACCGCACCCCCACCACCCTTCCCATCCCGTGGGACCTGGGCCAAGGCCGTGGCCCAGCCTTTGCAGACTGAATGCAGCCACCCTCTCCCCATCCTCGCTCCCCAGCCTCGGGGACGGGGAGCGAGAGTAGGAAGAGGAGGAGGAGCAGGAGGCAGCGGCCCAGGGTAAGTGACTGCCCCACGGTGGGGGACCCGAGGAGGACAGGAGTCCAGCAGGGGGAGCCTGCCAGGGGGGACTCCAGGCACCCCAGTGCCTGAGAGGGAGCTGGGGGAGAGAGGAGGCTTCACCCTAGGATGAGGCCGATGGGAGAAAGAGCCAACAGGCCCTCACACTGGCAGGAAGAAGAAAGGTCCCAACAGAGCCAGGCCTGCGATCGGCAAAACTCAGCCTGTCCAGTTCAAGCCCAGACTTCTGGAGGGCTCCTCTGTGAATCAGGAGCAGGCTAGGGCTTGGGGGGCAGTGGGCAAGCGGGAAGGAAACAGCTCTTTGTTGTGCAACTCCTTTCTCAGGCAGCCATGCCACCCCACCCCGGACCCCATTATCATGACGAGGGGGTGGGCCTTGCTGTCCAACTGTGCCACTGCTGTCCCTTCCAGGAACCCCCATCAGGGATTTTCAGTGCATTGACCTTCCTTTATGCTTGATCTCCCTAGAATACAAGTGTTTTTTAAGTTATAAAATATATTGTAACCATTTTTAACCGTAAGTTCAGTGGTTCAGTATGTTCATGCCATTGTGAAATACAAGCTTCTTTTTCTTTTTTTTTTTTATGGCCATGCAATGTGGCTTGTGGTCTGTTAGTTCCAAAACTAGGGATTGAACCCAAGCCCTTGGCAGTGAATGCATGGAGTCCTAACTACTGGACCACCAGGAAATTCCAACAAGCATTTTCTTAAACAAGCAATTATATAGCACTTTCTATGTGCCAAGCCCTGTTCTAAGCCCTTTACAAATACATTAGATTCATTTAATTGTTATAATCTCCCAAATAGCCCTCTGCGGTAGGTCCTGTAATTGTCCTCATCTCACAAATGAGGACACAGGGGTGCAGAGAGGTTAGATAACTGCCGGGCTGGTGAGCGGTGAGTGAGGGGCAGAGTGACGTGCCCCAGCTTGCAGATGGCTGTGGTCTCATCCAGCTAGAGGAGACTGACAAGTTCCAGGCCCCCTGGAGACTACTGCCCATGGTGGGGGTTGGGAGGGTTGGCCAGGAGCACCCCTGGGAGGCCCAGATTTTAGAGGGTTCCCCTGGGGCTGAACCTGACTTGGTCTGGTCTACAGGGTCTGTAATGGTGAAATCTCCTCTGAACCGGGAGCTGGTTGCCACCTATGAGGTCACTCTCTCTGTGATCGACAACGCCAGCGACCTACCAGAGCGCTCCGTCAGTGTGCCGAACGGTAAGGTCTCTCCCCACAGGCCTCTCCACACGATCCCATAGCGAGGCAGGCCCGGTCCTGGGAGGGAGCAGCGGGACGGGCTACAGGGGCTGCCAGCAATCAGGCTGCATGAGGAGGGGTGGGGGCCGGGGAAGGTGGCAGCTACGAGGCTGGGGGTGGCCCTGTGTCCCTGCCATTAGGCAGAGCTCAGCAGTTGGGGATCCAGAAGCCCAGAGCTGTGTGTGATCTTGAACTCTCAGCCTCAGAGTGGGAAGGAGGCATGGTAGATGCTGGAAGCGGATTGAGGAAAGGATGGGTTGATGGAGACTTAGGTTGGAATCCCATTGTCAGAACTGGTAACCAGGGTGTAGCTGGGATGTGAGATGGGAATTTCAGATCTGCTAAGAAGCCACATGATCAGGCCAGAGGCAGCAAAGAGAAAAGCAAGGTGACTTGAAGCCACAGACACCACAGTGGAGAAGAGAAGGGCATGCAGGCTGCCTTCTGTGGCTGGGCACAGTCCTGCCTGCGGCATGAGCCGGGAGGGGCTGCTAGGGGCACTAGATCTTGCCAAGCAGGGAGCGAGGAGGGGGATTTAGGGATGGCATGGCCTCTGCCATGAGGCGGAGACAGCTGGGGTTGGGGAAATACTGGCTGGGGCTTGGCAGATACTGGCTGCTTATCTTTATAGCCCAGAAGCCCTAGTTTTCAGGAAGGGTGGACCTAGTCATCTGCTATTTGTCCCAGGCTCAGAGTGCAAAGGGCCCAGGCTGGTTATACAAAGGGAACAACTCAGAGGGAGACAAAAGGTCGAATCATGGAAAAGGGTCTTACAGATGATCCGAGTTCTGTCTCCTGGGACAAGTTAGGAAATTGAGCAACGGTGATGGCCAGGGCTTCCACCAAGGTTTCCAGTCAGTTGGCAGAACCCAAGCCCCTTTCGCTATGTAAGAGTGAGTGACCTGACCAGAGTCAGGGGACACAGGCCACCACCCGAGGCTAGGGCCAAGCTTCAGGGAGCCCCAGGAGGTCTGCAGCGAGATGCTGCCATCGTCTCTGGGCCTGGCTGAGACTTAGGAAGGCCTGACCCAGCCACACCGGGGCCCTCTCATGCCACTCTCACCTGCTGCCTCCACTCCAGCCAAGCTGACGGTCAACATCCTGGACGTCAATGACAATACACCCCAGTTCAAGCCCTTCGGGATCACCTACTACACAGAGCGGATCCTGGAGGGGGCCACTCCAGGCACCACGCTCATCGCTGTGGCAGCTGTGGATCCCGACAAGGGTCTCAATGGGCTGATCACCTATACCCTGCTGAACCTGATGCCCCCGGGCTATGTCCAGCTGGAAGACTCCTCAGCAGGTGGGCGGGAAGGTCTGCCAGAGGAGGGCTGGGGAATATGTGTCTGTGCCTGCCTAGCCTCCCAGAGGGGCCAGGTTCACTTCTCACCCTCCAGTTGAGGCCCCACCATGACCCCTCAGCGGGCGGGGCCAGATCCCATATGGCTAACATTCTACTCACTCCCACATGCCTGACCTAGAAGCATGGATGGGGTGCCTCGCTCTTACTTAGGATGGAAGCCTTCTTCAGCATCTGCTGGAAAGCTGAAATAGTCCCTCACCCTCTCTACCACTCAAGCTCCACAATTAGTATCACTTAGGGAACAAGTAGGCCAAGAGAGAAGTGTCCCAAAGGAGGTCCTCGACTTGTTTTTGTACATTCCCCACCCCCTTATTTTTCATTTTTGACTGCACTGGGCCTTCGTTGCTGTACATGGACTTCCTCTAGTTGCAGTGTATGGGCTCAGCAGTTGCAGTGCTGAGGCTTCCCATTGCAGTGGCTTTTTTCAGAGCACAGGCTCTAAGGATGCCTCAGTAGTTGTGGTGCACAGGCTGTTGCTCCACAGCATGTGGAATCTTACCAGATCCATACCCCCTGCATTAGGCAGGGATTGAACCCATATCCCCTGCATAGGCAGGCTATTTCTTAACCACTGGACCATCGGGAAAGTCCCCTTCTGACTTGTGAAAAGCTTTCTCACCCTTCCAGTGAGGAGAAGAGCTAGACACCAGTTATTCTCAGCCCTCTGGCCAGCCACTGGGCAGTGAGGCCTAGCCACCCTTCTCCCTCAATGGACTGTGCTCATCCCTCAGAGCCCCAGATCCTTCTCTTCACACGTCAGAGAGCTTCCACGAGTGAGGGGTGGCCAGAATGGCAGTGAGTGTCTCTGTGTCTTAGGGAAGGTCATTGCCAACCAGACAGTGGACTATGAGGAACTGCACTGGCTCAACTTCACCGTGAGGGCCTCGGACAATGGGTCCCCACCCCGGGCAGCTGAGATCCCTGTCTACCTGGAGATTGTGGACATCAATGACAACAACCCCATCTTTGACCAGCTGTCCTACCAGGTGGGTGGCCAGGCCAACACACTGGGTCTTGGACCCATGCCCACTCCTCGGGACCTTTGGGCATCTTCCACTCCCACCCTGCTAGCCTTCAAGTCCCGTGGGAATGACCGTCCATGAGTAGCTTGATGCCCTGGGTTGTCTGCGTCAGTGAGTTTCTTGGGCAAGCACAGAGACTCTAGACTAACCACAGCCCATGCTTTCTCTCTGCCCCCTGGGCTCCAGGAAGCTGTCTTTGAGGATGTTCCTGTGGGCACAGTCGTCCTGACGGTCACTGCTACTGACGCTGACTCGGGCAACTTCGCCCTCATTGAGTACAGCCTTGTGGATGGTGAGGGCAAGTTTGCCATCAGCCCCACCACAGTAAGTGGGCAATGGAGGGCCTGGGTTTGGGGAATGGGAAGTGGGAAGGGCTCAGGGTCATAGGCTGAGAAGCCACCAAAAGTATTGCAGTCACCCCTCTGTTTCTGGGTCCTGCCACCTGGACCTCTATAGCCTCAGAAGTCTTCCAGTCAAGTTGGCAAGCACTGTTCTCAGAGTCCCAGACATCCTTAAACTGCGGCCTTTCTGTCCCAGCAGACCTGGAAGGAAGTGGCCAGTCTTTTGGAAGTTGCCCCTTGTGGGACAGAATCTGAGATTTGTCTCCACCAGCCTAGAAGACTTGATTCAGGTCCATGAGACTGCTTTTTGAAACTGCCCAAGAGAGGTATAGGAAGCTCTGTAGACAGTGGGCACAGTAGCTGAGCGCCTACTGTATACATGGCTCTATTCTCAGTGCTGGGAGAGGGAAGAAGTGCCCACCACACAGCCCTCATGTTCCCATGAGTCTCAGACTTGTGGGAATGCAGAAACTCAAGATTTTGAATGTCGGCAAATTGGTTCAAAGTTGCTGTTTCAGTACAAGGAGGGAGGGAGAGAGCCCTATGGCCTGGGGCTGGCTGGCCAGGCAGAGCCTTCCCCACTCGTGAGGCTGCAGCTGGATTTTCCCTCCCACTGCCTGCCCACATCCCCCTGCACTCTGCCCTTTCAGCCGGGTTTCTCTCCTTCTTCTTGGTGTGAACAATAAGACATACTCCCAGCCTGGCACTATGACTGTGAATACTGTGGGGCATTTCTATGTACCTGGCCCGGGAGTGAGCTCCAGCCTGGGCTGTTTATCCTGTCTCCAGGTGGACTCTGGATAGTGAAGGCAAGAAGAGNGCCGGCCACAGTTCTCCAAGCTCCAGTTCAGCACGAGCGTGTACGAGAATGAGCCAGCAGGCACCTCTGTCATCACCATGATGGCCACCGACCAGGATGAGGGCTCCAATGCGGAGTTGGCCTACTCACTTGAGGGCCCCGGCGTGGGTACGTAGCCTGCTCCCCCCTCCCAGGATGCTTTAGGGGCTGCAGCCCCAGGCCAGGCAGAAGGTGGGGGGGGTGGAGGAGGGATGAAAGGGTATCTCAGCCAGACCCATGCCCTGCTCTCCTACCCCACCTGCCAGAGGCCTTCCACGTGGACATGGACTCGGGCCTGGTGACCACAAAGCGGCCACTGCAGTCCTACGAGAGGTTCAACCTGACCGTAGTGGCCACAGATGGCGGGCAGCCCCCGCTCTGGGGCACCACCATGCTCCTGGTGGAGGTCATCGACGTCAATGACAACCGCCCTGTCTTTGTGCGCCCACCCAATGGCACTATCCTCCACATCAGAGAGGTACTGCTGTCCCCGGGGCCTCCTGCCACCTGCACCCCCTTCCAGTGTCCAGGCCACTTCTATATTCTGCAGTCATTCTGTAGCCTGAGGCTGAAGGGGCCCCCACTGTGAAAGCAGGGAAACTGAGGCCAGAGTAGGGAACCAGCCGGCTCAGCACCACACAGGGTGGTACTGAACAGTGGTTAGTAAGAAGGGCTGCACAAGCCAGAGCTCTTGGATCCACATCTGACTCTATCACTTACCAGCCAGACGACCTTGAGCAAGTGACTTCTCTGAGTCTTTTTTTTTTTCGTCTGCAAAGTGGGACTAATAATAGTAGGTGTCCCACTCTTGCTCCTAAATGTCTGCCAAGGACAGTCTCCCCACAAGTCACTTCCCCCATACTTGTCTCAAAATAAACACGCAGCCCCTTCTCTCTGTCTGTTGTTCCTGCTGATACCAGTGTTGGAGACAGCCTGGGACCTAAGGATGAACATCAAAATAAGAAACAAGGGGAAGTGGCTGAGTGTCTGTTTCCAATTCTTCTTTCATGCCTTGTTCTCAAATGTCTTATAAAGATAGGGAAGGACTCCTGCCCTTCCCCTCCTTCCTCTCAACACCAAAGCCCAAAATGCTCCTTGAAAGAATACTTGGGGTGTCTCCCACTTGTTCTTTTCTCCCCAAATGAGAAAATGCTCTTTTCTTTCCAAAAATGAACCAGTGGCCTCAGCATCTCTCCACATCTCAGAATGTCCTTGCTGTCACCCTGTCTCATTTGAGATCCCACATGATAAATTTCTCCCAGGGCTGAACTCTAGGAAACACTATACTTTTACCTTGTGATTTTTTTTTTTAACCCGTGTCTACTGCAGTGATACAGTGGCCCTCTTTTCTTTGTTCACTAGAGAGCTCAGAGTGGTCAGCCCACCTTGATTGATGTACATGTTAGTGTACACACCTTCCCTCCCATCCCTGTTTCCATCTTCCGCCAATCATTTTTTTCTCCACCCTGATTTTTTTTAACCCATTCACTCTTATTATAGTTCACAGATTCTTGTCCACTGCCTGCCTCGAATCTTCTTTACAGAATGAGGCAGCGTATAAATTAATAATAATATAGTTCTTTGTAACTTTCCTGGTGGCTCAGATGGTAAAGAATATGCCTGCAATGCAGGAGACCCAGGTTCAGTCCCTGGGTGCAGAAGATCCCCTGGAGAAGGAAATGGCAACCCACTCCAGTATTCTTGCCTAGAAAATCCCATGGACAGAGGAGCCTGGTGGGCTACAGTTCATGGACTCACAAAGAGTCAGACACAACTGAGCAACTGAGCATAGTTCTTTTCCACACCAAAGGGCCCCTTTTACTAAGGTTTTTTTTTTTCTTTCAAGGGGTCCATATTTGAAAGATTCATGTTTCTCGAACAACCAGCATTTGTTAAGTAATTACCTCTGTCATCCCATTTTCAATCTATTAGATGTAACTGCCAGTTGGAGTTTCTGATTGTCATGATCAATGAGATAAACAGTGAAATCATGCTGAGCTGATGCTTTTTTAACTGAAATCCAAAAACTTGTTCTTTTTCTTGTGCCCTTGGCAACCTTTTCATGGGCCAATGTTGATGTCTATTAGGTTTTTTGATAGCTCAGACTTAAGGGACTTGGAAGCCTGAGGATCAGAGAAGAGAAGTGGCATGTTCAGGTCACAGAGTGAATTAGTAACAGACTTGAACCCAAATGTCCAATTTCTAGCCACCAAATCACCCTACCTGCATGCCCTCCCCATTTTCAGGGACCCCATTGGGTGGATATGTTCTTTGGGGGATACCTAGAGCTCCTGTGATTAGGGTAGTAGGCCCAGAAACAGAGGGTGGGTCTGAGGGTCTTCTAAACCTCAGCATGCAGTGCAATGGAGGGATGGGATAGCCCTGGAAGGGTGGTCACCCCAAGAGTCTGGAACATGGTGGATCCAAGGCTGGACTGTCCGTGGGTAGTGGCCTTGGCTGGGGGTGGGGGTGAAGGAACATTCTAGCAGCTGCTCAGACTCCAGGAGAGTCCAGCCAAGCAGACAGGCATTTCCTAGGAATGCTGAAAGGTGGCAAGGACATTCTGCTCTGGGAGCTGGGATTCTCTCAGGATACCTCCTTCTGTACCCCCTGCAGGAGATCCCACTGCGTTCCAACGTGTACGAAGTCTACGCCACGGACAAGGACGAGGGCCTCAACGGGGCCGTGCGCTACAGCTTCCTAAAGACCGCAGGCAACCGGGACTGGGAGTACTTCACCATCGACCCAGTCAGTGGCCTCATCCAGACCGCGCAGCGCCTGGACCGGGAGAAGCAGGCAGTGTACAGCGTAAGGGGCGGGGCCTGGCACGAGGGGCGGGGCCCAGTGCCGGGGGCAGGGCCGGCCGGGAAGGAGACTTTCTTCTGGCTGCCGGACCACTACGTCCCCACCTAGAATGTCTGCGAGGGAAGTGAGCTGTCCTCCGGGGATGCCTGCCTGGGGCCCTTCGTCCGCTCTGACAGCACTTCTCCTCCCCAGCTCATCCTGGTGGCCAGTGACTTGGGCCAGCCAGTGCCCTATGAGACCATGCAGCCGCTGCAGGTGGCCCTGGAGGACATCGACGACAACGAACCCCTCTTCGTGAGGCCGCCAGTGAGCTTACCCCTCCCCTGCACCGGTCACACCACACTCTATGCACACTGTGCTGCAGACACACGTGGTCACATGTGGAAACTGCCCGGCACTTCACAGAATATTGTCTGAGCAGCTACTATGTCAAGGCACTACCCAGCAGTCAGAAAGCAGACAGAAATGCCTGACTCCTGGAGCTGACGTGCCCATGTCTGCATACACGCTCACAAAAGGACCCTGAAAATCAATTCTGCTCTAGTGAGCTGGGGCTGAGCCTCTTCATGTGGACTCAGAGTCTCTAACCTGGCGGTTTCCTCATCTTGTGTGCACACAGGGTATGATGTTTCCTGGAGACCGCACATATATGTGTGTGTGAGAGTGTGTATGTGTGCACATGCAAGCCCCCTTGTTCAGGTCCTAGGAGACCTTGGAGAATGTGCCCAGCCAGCCCTGCCCTCCTGGAGGAAGTTGTGGGTGACACTCCCTCAGGGCAGAGCAGGGGTCTCTCCAGCCCAACCCTTTCTCCTTAAGGTTACAGCAGTTTCTCTAGGCCTGGGCAGGAAATGCCCTCAGCACCCATGAAGGCACTGCCCAGTGCCCTCTGGCAGGAGCAGAGGCTCAGGCCTTCCCTTGGCCTCCCATGACCTCCCTCTCCCCCTGCAGAAAGGCAGCCCCCAGTACCAGTTGCTGACGGTGCCCGAGCACTCACCCCATGGCACCCTTGTGGGCAACGTGACAGGCGCTGTGGATGCAGACGAGGGCTCCAACGCCATCGTGTACTACTTCATCGCAGGTGGGGCCCGGCAGGGTGGTGCCTCCATACCCTGGGGCTGGAGATGACCCACATGTGCCCCCTCCCAGCCCCTCATGCTGTGCCATGGTTCCCTTCAGCCGGCAACGAAGAGAAGAACTTCCAGCTGCAGCCCGACGGGCGTCTGCTGGTGCTGAGAGACCTGGACAGGGAGCGTGAAGCCGTCTTCTCCTTCATCGTCAAGGCTTCAAGCAATCGAAGCTGGACACCTCCCCGCAGGCCCTCCCCAGCCCTTGACCTGGTCACTGACCTCACCCTGCAGGAAGTGCGTGTCGTGCTGGAGGACATCAACGATCAGCCGCCACGCTTCACCAAGGCTGAGTACACTGCAGGTGCAGGGACCAGAGCCTGGGCCTGGGGTGTAGGGTGGCCTCTCCTCTGCCACTTACACTCATCTGCCTATTCCTGCAGGAGTGGCCACTGACGCCAAAGTGGGCTCAGAGTTGATCCAGGTGCTGGCCCTGGACGCAGACATTGGCAACAACAGTCTTGTCTTCTATAGCATCCTGGCCATCCATTACTTCCAGGCCCTGGCCAATGACTCTGAGGACGTGGGCCAGGTCTTCACGATGGGTAGGGGCTCCAACCACTTCATGGATTGTAGGTCTGGACAAAATAGGGTCTATGGGGATACCACAGGGTATAGGTGGCCAGTCAGCCACATCAGTCCTTCTATTCACCCATCCAACCATCCACCTATCCATCTCTGTATTTACCCACCCACTTTCTTCTCTTCTTCCCATCTCCTCATCCATCCATCCATCCATCTACCCATGCATCCATTCATTCATCTTCATTCATTTGTCTGCCCATCCATCTCCCCATTCTCCTTTCCATATATCCTCCTATCTTTCCATTTGTGCACCTCACCCTCCCCTGCATCAGGCATTGTGCTAGGTAGGCACTGGGGAGCCAGAATTCAAAAAGCACACTTCAACCTAAAAGTATGTGTGGTTGCTTGTGCATCTGCCTGTGTGGAAAGCTGAGCATCTCTGGGTTAGGTTCTAGAAGGTGTTCCAGTGGGTGTCCCAATCTTACCTCCAGCTCCAGCCCCTTCCCTACACTTTGCTGCCCACAGCAATCAATTCAGGTTCTTTTGCCTGGTTTTCTAGGCTCATCAGTTCTTCCTTCTAATCCTGCTTTCTGGTTCCACAGCCCCTTTTATACCCTTAAGGGCACGGCTCCCACTCAGGCTGAACTACTCACCATTCCTTCAAGCCTGCTTCACAGCATCCTCCCCGGGCCTTGGATCCCTTTGTGTTCACTTCCTGGAACACCATCCTGGCCTTCACCTCTGTCTTCAGAATGCTCCCCTCACCATCCTCTGAAGTCTAGTTCATGTGCCACCACCTCCAGTCACACCATCAAACAACCATCGCTTTGTCCTCCGAGTTCCCACTGCTCTTAAACTAATAAGCAGCTTGCTACAGGTCACAAAGCTACAAAGTGGCAGACTTTGAACCCAGATCTAAGTCTCTGAATCCAGTCTTTTAAGAGAAGGCTGTGCCATACTAATGCCGGTCATCTTTCTGCTATGGTTGTGAAATTCCAAGGCGCATGTGTTACGTGTTAGAAACAGACACGGGGGGGCTCAGAAGTGTTCCACAGCCTCCCACAATGGGATGGCAAAGTCCAGCTTGTCATCCTTGGGTCAGTGCAGCCCAAGTTGTGTTTTTAGGATGCCGCATGTTTAAATAAAACTTAGAATTCTCTAGAGAAAGTGCACCAGCCGTGGGCTCTCCCTGCAGGGAGTGTGGATGGCATCCTGCGCACCTTCGACCTCTTCATGGCCTACAGCCCCGGTTACTTTGTGGTGGACATCGTGGCCCGGGACCTGGCGGGCCACAATGACACGGCTGTCATCGGCATCTATATCCTGAGGGACGACCAGCGGGTCAAGATCGTCATTAACGAGATCCCTGACCGCGTGCGTGGCTTTGAGGAGGAGTTCATCCACCTGCTCTCCAACATCACCGGTGCCATTGTCAACACCGATGATGTGCAGGTACCCTGAGGAACCCGCTCTGGGCCTCAGGGCAGTGGAGCAAGAAGTGGGGCCGGGACAGGGGCAGAGCAGTGCAGAGAGATCGGGGTGTAGGAAAGGGATCAGCCATTTCTGAGCTGCCTGAGCACGGTCCTTCCAGGTCTCTGGGCCTGTTTCCTCCTCTATAAAATGGGGCTAATAATAGTGTCTGGCCCAGTGCAGCTCAGTGGTCAGCCTCGAGCTTGATCCTTGGTGAGCATTCAGTCGTGCTAGGGTTTCGGCAGGGCAGGGCAGGAGGGGCTGCTAGGAGAGGCCTGCCCCTCCCACGCCTTGCCCCTGCCACACCTCCCATGATGCCCTTCTCACCTAGTTCCACGTGGACAAGAAGGGTCGGGTGAACTTCGCACAGACGGAGCTGCTCATCCACGTGGTGAACCGCGACACCAACCGCATCCTGGACGTGGACCGGTGGGTGTGCGTCTGTGTGCAGCTGTCTGCCCCCTGCCCTGGAGTTGGGTCCGTCAGTCTGCCCCCACCTTGGAGTTGGGGAGCAGGGTGACAGCATCATGCCTGCTGTAGGGGAGGCTCTCACCCAGGGATGGGCAGGGCAGGTAGAGAGAAGGTGTGTGAACAGAGATCCACCCCCTGAGCCTTACTCCTCCCATGCGTGAAATGGGAGTATTACAGCAATCGTGAGGATCAAACAGGATCTTATGTGAAGGGATGGTCAATCTGTAAGATACAGGGTTATCCGAGCTGGGTGGGCCTGAATTTCCCAAGGCTTGGTGGGGGGTGAATCTGGGGGCAGACTGGCCTGAGTGGGACGAGCTCTTGAGGAATGGCTGAGGCCTGTGCCCCTCGCCCAGGGTGATCCAGATGATCGACGAAAACAAGGAGCAACTGAGGAATCTGTTCCGGAACTACAACGTCCTGGACGTGCAGCCCGCCATCTCTGTCCGCCTGCCCGATGACATGTCCGCCCTGCAGGTACCCCTGGTGACAGCCACCCCCACAGTCCCCGTGCTGCCCTGGCTGCTCTCACCCACTCAGGCCCGGCCCTGCTCCCCTAGATGGCGATCATTGTCCTGGCCATTCTCCTCTTCTTGGCTGCCATGCTCTTCATCCTCATGAACTGGTACTACAGGACCGTGTGAGTGACCCCCACTGCCCTGCCCTGAGACAGGCTGACCAGCCCTGCCCCGCAGACAGTCACGGAGGCAGGCGGGGCCATTAGGCCCTAAGGTGCCAATCCAGCCCCAGCCTCCTTCACCAGCCCCTCTGCTTCTTTCTAGACACAAGAGGAAGCTCAAAGCCATCGTGGCTGGCTCCGCAGGTAAGAGGGCTGTGATGGGTGGGGAGGTGGCAGGGTCCCCAGAGGGCCTAGAGTGACCGCCAGGGCCTCACAGGGCTGGCTCAGGCCCACTACCCAGCCCCAGCAGGGTGTACCCCTCTAGCCCACACCCCAACCCTTCTCCTACAGGGAATCGTGGCTTCATTGACATCATGGACATGCCCAACACTAACAAGTATTCCTTCGATGGGTGAGTGGGGTCTCTGAACCCTGCTGGGTGCACTTTAGGGAGACACACCCTGGACCAAGCTAGGGTAAAGTCCTTACTGCCTCTCAAGCCCTGAGGACATCATGGACTGGCTGAAACCTGGGGTGCGGGTGCCCCCTGCTGGGCCAAACACCCCTCTCTCCACCCTGACTTGTGGGCTGCAAGTTCCAGGGAGGCATAGGTTTTGGACACCGGGTGCAAGGGGAGGCCTCCGCACCAAAGCTGATCCTGATGGGGATGTTGTCCTGGTTCTTGTGGGATCTGTGAGGGGAGGACGCACCCACAGGTGCCACAGGCAAGGGGCATTTCTTACCACCCTCTACCCCCAGTCCTGTGACAGATATGGCCGAGGAAACGGTGGGGGCCCGTTTCCCTCAAAGGCATCAAAAGTGTCCGTCCACTCCAGCCTCCTCCCAACCCCACTCCATCTGCAGGGCCAACCCTGTGTGGCTGGATCCTTTCTGCCGGAACCTGGAGCTGGCCGCCCAGGCTGAGCACGAGGATGACTTGCCGGAGAACCTGAGTGAGATCGCTGACCTGTGGAACAGCCCCACCCGCACCCATGTGAGCCTGGGCCGGAGGGGGCGGGGACAGTCATGAGGGACACGTACGTGTGTGTACACATGTGCGTGCCGTCTACCTCTGCGTCAGCTAATGCCTCCTCTCCCCAGGGAACTTTCGGGCGTGAACCAGCGGCGGTCAAGCCTGACGACGACCGGTACCTGCGGGCTGCCATCCAGGAGTATGATAACATTGCCAAGCTGGGCCAGATCATTCGGGAGGGGCCCATCAAGGTGAGTTGTCCTGGCAGGCTTCTGCCCCCAACCCCTGGCTGGGCTTGAACCTACTCCAGAGGATGCAGGGACGGGGGAGGGGCCTGGGAAACAGCTTCCTCCACCTCCAGGGCCTTAGCTAGACCTGCCCTCTGGGGGGCCAGAACAGATAGTGGCCCTGGGCTGATGAGGAGCTGCTTCAGCCCAAGTGGCCTCAGGGCCAGGACTCTGGCAACATAGGTCCAGCTGGCAGCAGCTCTGTTCCCACCCTCTACCCTAGGATCAGATGCCCAGAGGCACCTTCCATTACCCCCACCTGTTAGGGGAGTGAGTGGGGGCAGGAAGGGGAGGGCGTTGGTGGGGGTTAACCCTCTCCCTCCCCCAGGGCTCGCTGCTGAAGGTGGTCCTGGAGGATTACCTGCGGCTCAAAAAGCTCTTTGCACAGCGGATGGTGCAAAAAGCCTCCTCCTGCCACTCCTCCATCTCCGAGGTAGCGGGTGGGCCGGGAGCTGTGTGCTGTGCCCCAGCCCTGGGGGTGCTCTCTCCCTCTCCCTGTCTCTTTCATCCTGAGTCTCTAAGATGTAACTAGGACCAAAGACCACAGTGGGTGGGGGTCCAGGGAGTCAAGACAGTTGGATTCTGCTCTCTGGACTCTGGGGGACTTTCCCAGGGATGGGTGGGTGCTGAGGCAGTGTTTCTCTCAGATTTGAGAAACCCCCAAGAAGGTATCTTTGAGAGATCATGTCATTTTTAGAAACTGACTGCAGTGCCACGTCAATCACTTTGAACAGTCAGACTTTGTCTAAAAAATTCAGGTTTCCGGCTGGGCCAATATTCCCCACTGTCATAGGTGAGAACTGAGAAGCTCCACACAGGACAGAGGCGACATTTGTTGAGTCTCTGCTCGGCCTTATCAGTCCTCTCCAGCTCCCACTGTGGACACCTCCCACCTGCCACAATGAGAGCTGATCCTGCTCGAGGCCAGCCCGGGAAAAAGTCCCGATTCCACAGCTGCAGTCACAGGATCTTTATAGACCTCAGAGTAAACACAGGAGCTTACACAGAATCTCATAGGAACCCCATGCTCTGCAGAACACACCTGTAGCACCAGACATATCTATGGTTCTCCTTTGTACCCAGTTTGAATAAGTCGTAAGCTGCGCAGGCTTCTGTGGCACAAGCCCAGGGTTCCTTGTGTGTGGGAGGGAGAAAACAAGCCCACAACAGGTGGGACTCTGGGGCCGCTGACCTGCGCAGGGGCAGGCCCTGAGCACGTGGGGGTCCTGGCCTCTTGCAGCTGATCCAGACAGAGCTGGAAGAGGAGCCAGGGGAGCGCAGCCCCGGCCAGGGCAGCCTGCGTTTCTGCCACAAGCCGCCTACCGAGCTCAGAGGGCCAGACGGGATCCACGTGATGCACGGGAGCACGGGCACGCTGCTGGCCACAGACCTCAACAGCCTGCCCGAGGATGACCAGAAGGGCCTGGGCCGCTCCCTGGAGACGCTGACGACGGCCGAGGCCAGCGCCTTTGAGCGCAATGCCCGCACAGAGTCCGCCAAATCCACACCCCTGCACAAGCTTCGTGACGTGATCATGGAGAGCCCCCTGGAGATCACGGAGCTGTGACTAGATGGGGGGAGCCCACCTGGTATGAGCAGCCCAGCCCCTCCAGAGGCCAGAGCAGGAGCAGGACCTCCAGGGTGTGGGCCCCTCCGGGGGCAGCTCTGGGCACACAACCTTGGGCTGGCCCAGCAGCAGGGCCTGCCTCAGCTGCTCAGACTCCACTTCTGCCAGACGCTCATTCAGCCATCTGATCTCTACCTTCATAAAATGTTATTTTTTTAAGAAAACCAAACAAATGGCAAGCATCTAAGGATGAGGTAAGGAGGGTCACCGAGAGCCCAGGAGTCTGAGGTCCAACTCAGCCCAGGCTGAGCTGAAAGAGGCCAAGCCGGCCCACTCCCCCCAACCCTAGCCCCACTGCACAGGAGCCCAGCACTGGGGAGGGAGCCCAGGGCAGGTGTGCCCTGCCTGGCCTTGACTCTTGGACTCCAGTTCAAGTCCCAGCACATTTCTGCCACTTCCCTGACTGGACATGCAGGTGGGGGCAGTGAGTCCTCCCTGTCTCCCCACACGGACACAGTCAATGTCAGCAAACAGCATTCTCTCCATTTCACTGGCTTCCCAAACATCTCCATTTCACTGGCTTCCCAAACATTCCTGGCTCATAAAGAGAAAAATGACTGATGTTCCCTTGGGTTTTGAATGTAGAATGTTTGTGTGTATCCCCCTTTGAAACTAAGTTATTCCCTCAATATTTTCCCCTTGGTTTTGTTCAATTGGTACGCACTGAATGTCTCTGGAATGGTCTGAATTTTAAAAAGAAAAGCAACTCACAAGGAACCGGCATGTCGCTCTGGTAAACTTACCCGCTGGGCTGGGCTGGGCTGGGGGCAGTGGGGGTCAGCACAGGCCAGAGCTGGACCCATCTCCGGGGGCACTCCCTGACCACTGGTGGCCCGGGGGTGCCACAGAGAACCAGAGATGGGACCTCCTTCCTGTGGCCAAATGAGGCCCAAGGACTGCTGGGCACTTACAGGTTCACAGCCTCAAGAGCTCTTCAGAAGCCAAACTCTGCTGGCTGAGGTATCACAAACACTCAGGCTCTGGTTGACAGACTTTATTGTTAAATCACAGAAATTTTAGTGCAAAACAAACCAAAAAATCAATAGCAACCGCATGTCTTGCTCTCTCCTGGCAACCGGAAGTGGAACAGAAGATGCAGCCAGAGGGGAGAGAAGAAGGCAGGGCGGCAGCCAAGGCCCCGGGACAGCACACCCAGCAGACCTTCTACCTGGAAACCAGAGGCTTAGGAGCTTGTCATCCACATTTATTGGCAGGTCGAAAAGAACATCTACAAGATGGGGGTCGGAGGGGAGGGGCTGTCCTGCCCAGAACAGTGGGGGCGCCGGGCAGCAGGGCCGACACCAGAGCAGGCAGGAGGCGTCACCATGGTCCCCACACACACACACACACACACACACGCAGGCCCGCAGAACCTCTACAGAGAGCCAGTAGGGTACATTCAGGTGAACCGGTTTTTTCCCCTCCCACCCCAAACCACAGAACCCCAAACAACACATCCATCAGGAAAGACAAGAAAGCCGAACTGAAGGCTGACCCAGGGATAGCGAGCCCCATCCCACCAGGTCTCCTGAGCAACTGCTTCCAACAGCTCTGTGACAGTGAGACCTGCATTGTTTAAAAAGCATCATTATTCTGAGTCTCTCATCCTTCAAATAAAACTGCCTTTATTTTGCAGTCAGCAGGCCCACAAAAGGGGATGGTGACTCGACTCCTTCGTTAGAGTAGGCAGAGGCCTCAGCACCCAAAGCCCAGCCAGAGCCCCCTCTCTTCCACATAACCACACGCAGGGACAGACTCAGAAGACCTCCAGTGTACGCTATGCCGGCGTCTGTCTAGCAGAGAGAAAGGGACACTGAAGCAACGACGTCAGCATGCCACTGACAGCAATGCCACAATGAGGGAGAGAAGAAAGGGACTGAGGGAGAGGGGATCCTATTTCTATAACAAAGTCAACAGATCTGTGTTCGTTCCCCCAGACACACAAGCAGGAAAAGACGCTGCAGTTTCTTCAGGATGGAGTGTGCCTCTAGTTCCACACATGACGCTTGCAGTGCTCGACAGCCTGACGGGAGAGAGGGGACAGTTTAGTCTGCAGGTGACACACTTCACCCCTAGCCCCTCAGCACATGAGCCTGCACTCAGAAAGGGGACCCGATACCCTGGCCCAGATCAGCCAGAGCGCACCACATGCTGAAAACCCAGGTCTTTATCTCCTTTAAACCCAGGCATAATATGTGGTGGGGTTCTAAGACTCTTAAGGCAAGAGTCTAGAGCAGTCCAAGGCAACAGTCCTGCAAGAAGGGCCAAGACCCCTCTGATTACACACCTGAGCCCTGGCACAGAGGGCCCCAAGGCAAAACTCCTCAGCCAACAGTCAGCCGTTCACACCAGCTCAGAACTGGCCCAGGTACCCAGGAGAGTGGGGGATCCCACTCCACCACTGACTGTGCTGCAGGGCAGGGTACTGGGGCAAGAGGCTCAAGGTGGGGGAGCCTCACACCCACTCTCCCTGCCATAGCCCAAGATGATGCAATGCCCCCAACACTGGCTCACTGAAAGAATCCCACAAGGAAGAGAAAGTTGCGCAAAGAAACATCAGGTAACAGAAGTTGAGACACACATCCCCACCCAGGAAAGCAGCATGGGTCACCCAGTAGTGGCCGCCCAGCAGGGAGCCAACGCCCAGGGTGGTTCGAGAAGAGCTCTGCCAGGCCCTGGTGAAGAACCAAGCCAGGCTCCAGTCAAGGCAGAAGGAGCCCAGGGACAAGAGGCCTTGTGCAAGAATCCAACAGGCCTTGTGCAATCCCTCGGGTGACTGATTTCCTACGAACCTGACCCTGTCACAAGGGAACTGAAGGCAAAAGCAAGAAAGCGGAAGCAAAGAACACTGGAGAACATCCCCTGCCACCCATCACTCCTCAGAGACGAGAGTGCAGTGAGCCCTGCTTTTGCTGGTGACCACACATAAGCCTTACTACACCCCCATCTTAACTCTGAAGACAAAGCAGAGAGCTGAGTGCCGAGGCGCCAGTTAGAGCAGAGCCTCCCTCCCCTCGGTGTCACACACCACGAGAGCGCAGGCACGGGCCTCGCAGGCGGGCCCAAAGCAGTTACTCACGTTGCACAGGGCTGCCGACTCCATGTTCTGGCACCAGTAGCTCGGGCCCCAGACACACTTTTCAGTTCCCAAAAGCGGCTTGCGGGCTGCTGGGCAGGCTCCAATCTTCTACATGGTCAAGAGGAGGAGAAAGTATTAGATCTGCTCAGCTAATCCTTTTCAAAACGGAGATTATCAGCTGCTAGAAGCAGCTAGAATCAAAGCTCTAATAAGCACTTTCCCAAAAAGGCAAGGTTGCTCGATAAAGTGGTGGGACCTGGATGCCTGACTCTCCCACGTACTGTCCCCAGACTCTGCCTCCAGCCCCAGATTTGAAAGGAACCCTTCCAGGGTCCACACAGCATGCCCCTGCCAGGCGGCACTGCCCAGGAAACTACAGCCTAGCACACGGCTTACCAAGCACACGAAGGAAGGGTCCATCACCTCCACCAGGATTTCTATCAGCACCGGCTCATACTCCGTCACAAACTGGTCACACTAGGGGAAACAGCAGTGCAGGTCTGGGTGAGTGCAGGCGGAGCGCGGGCAGACGAGGAGGGGCGCTCTACATGCGCTTCTACCAGAACTCCTGGCCTTGCCAGCCTCCCAGCCTCCCTGCCCAGGTGCTCATTTTCCTCCCGGTGGCTCCACTCGAGTCCACAGGGCACCTTTAAGAAAATCTCAGTGGACTCCATGCCAGAGGCAGAAATGGCAAAACTTCACCCAGAGGTACAGTCGACAAGCACCCAGCTCCTACACTCCCCCAGCAGGTGCTGACATTTGGGCCGAAAGCAGCCCACGGCGTACCTGCTTCTGGTACTGGTCTGGCAGGAAGCTGCAGCCTTTCTCGAGGGCAGCCAGGATCTGCTCCTTGGTGCTGTTCTTCTCCAGGCTGCGGTCCAAATAGCCCACAAGCTTCTTGCACACCTCGCAGAAGCCACCGTCCTTCCTCGGCGTCACGCGGACTACACGAGAGAGCCCAGGCTCAGTGCCGGCAAGGCCCTCCCTCACCCAGGAGGGGCCGGTCGGCCTCACCCTCCCCGGGGCTCACCCGTCACGGCCGGCAGCCCCCGGCTGGAGCAGAGGTGGAGCATACTGCACACCAGCTCAGGGCTCGCCTCCTGCAAGAGGATCGACAGGATGGCGCTGCCGTAGGTGTCCACCACCTCCTGGCACTGCTCAGCTAAGGATGCGGGCAGCTTCGAGCACACTTTGTCCAAAGCATGGATTATTTCTTCCTGAAACACAAGGGGAGAGGCTCAGTGAGAAGATGGGAGGCTGCATGGGGGTGATGAGACTCTGAAAATGCTGATGTGACCAGGAAACCAGCCAACACGCAAGGTGCTGTTTTCTCCCCCAAAGGCTAGAGCTCACAGCAGGGCAGGTGCCCCCTCCAGCCCCAGCCCAGAGCGACCTGCTGGTAGGGGGTGGGTGTTTTGACCTCCAGGCTGGTGTCCCTCACGGGCCAGGGCCACGCCCAGGTCTGCTGGTCCTCCCAGAGGCCGTTCTGGCTCCAGGGCCAGGAGAGGCTGTCCCTCTGCCATGGCAGACATCCCCAGATCCACGTACCTCAGTCCTGTTGTTGTCAATCAGCTTGACCACCTCCTTCACCACATACTCGCACACCTCACAGTAAATGTCAGCCTTCGCGGGGGCTGGGTCCTTCTGTTAAAAGGGCAGGAGAAGAATACTGACACCAAGAGCCTCGCCTCACCCCTTGGTCCTGCTCCTCTAATAGGGGGCCGAGGCCAGGACGGGCTAGCGTCACCCAGAAGCCACCTTCTGCTGCTTCCAGAATAGGGTGTGGCTTCTTCCTAGTGCCTGAGCCCTGGTCCCTGCTCTTCCTGTATGGTGGGAAACCCGGCCCTTTCCCTAATCCTCCACCTCCCACCCAAAACTACGAACAGAAGCAATGAAACTGTCCCCCAACCCTAGAGAGCTGTCCATTCAACGTCTGTTTGGTTCAAAGTACCTCTTCATTCAGCATTCATTCTGGGAGATGAATGAGACACTAGCAACAGAGATATTCTACTATTTAAAAGAAAGTTTTAAACACATCTGAGGTCATCTCTTGACTTTCAAGTCTCAGCACCTGAAATTTCTTTTCGAGAGCCTACCTTTGATAAAACAGTGTTGAACAGAACTTTCCATGACAACCTTCTCTAGTTGTACCATCCAGTAGAGCAGCCACTGGCCGTGTGTCTACTGAGCACCTGAAACGTGCCCAGTAACCAAGGAACTGAATTTTGTTTTTAAATTTAAGTACCACATATGTCTAAGAGTACAAGCTATACCTCTCCATTTTGTCTGGCCACTAGCCACTGATCCAGTCAGAGAGATGGGCCGCAGCCTCTGAGCATCTGGACTGGGCAGGAGTGGGAGGGCAGTCAGACACCTAATCCATGCGTGGTCCACACAGGGCACATGCTGAGATCACAGGAGGAGACAAGACCGCTAAAGGTCAAGCAACACTGACATGGAAAGTTCCAGAACAAGAAGTGCACACATGTGCCATGTGGTGAGACACCACACTCCTGGGTGCTCCTTGAACACAAGGATGATTCTGTTCACCGTGGACGAACTACTGTAGGCCTCAATCTCTAAAACACTATCTCACCCATAAGAAGTGCTGAACACAAGTCAAGTATGG